TTACAGCCTCTGCCATTTCAAAGATGTCTCTCCAAGATGAACATTCTCAACATCCATGCTCATCTTGCGGGGGGATATTAGTTTATAATGTTTTTTATGTATTTTACATTTCAGTCCTTAGTCTTCTTCTTAATTACCCTCTTAGCCTACATATAAATAGGAGATTAGGGTTTCCCCACTTCACTTTTTCTTTTTCGCTTTCTGAGTGTTGCTCTCTCTCTCTCAATCTTTCCTCTCGGTTCTTCAATCTTGTCTCTCAAATCATGTACAGATATTATGTTTGATTCAATAAAATTCGATGTTTATGTTGTTAATAGTTCATTGAACCGCCGATTTTTTTTTTAAAGGAAATTTTAAAAAATAAATTAAACTACGACCCGGCCCGGCCTGTACCGATGAAAAAAAAAAATTAAGAACCGGAACCGAATCGTACGGCCAAAGTTCCGGTTCAACGAACCGGCAAAATCCGGACCGATTCGGTGCCGTGTCGGTGGGCCAGAACGACCGGGCCGCGTCTAGTTGTCGATAAAACCAATAGAGTTAATCGTTTTGGCCCAGTTTTTACATTCATGGGTACGGTGATATGAAGTCATTAATTTTTGCTCGACTAATATCACGTACGTACCTACCAACCCCACTTCCTTAAGGATACTCTCCTAATTGCTCTGACTTTGAAGCTTTCCGAAAATGTAGTACAATGACAAACAAGCGACTCCCTCACTTGCTCTGAAGCTTCCCATGAATGTGATAGTCTTTCCATTTTATTAAGGCTTTAATTGTTCAACGTCGGGGCCAAATTTACACACGCAGTACATAACCTTGAGGACCATCCTGAAACTTCAAATGAACAAACATAAGGGACTAATTTAAATCAGCAATTCGAAGGGACGAAAAAGTTATGGTGGAAAAAATACAGGACTAAAATTACAATTTTTTCTAATTTATTATCAATAGAATATGTCAAATTTTATGCGAAACCAATTACATAATTACTGCATAAAATGAATGTTTGAAATGAAAATGGCCTAAACAAAATAGAAATTGCTTTTGGGAGGAATTCTTTTATTATTACAATTAGATTTGGGCATGTATACTAATACACAAGATTTGAAAATTTGTATAATATTTTTTAAACAATTAATATATGAAGTATCAACAAGAAATAAGATTCTTTTGGTTTGAACCACGAAGTAAAGCAGTCCGATTATGCATTTCAATTCCCCAGCGGTGAGTACCGGAAAAAATTCAATGCAATTTCAGTCATTTGAGACTGAAAATGCAATAAAATTTAGAATTACATGACTTAATTTTTTTATTAGCAATTTAAATCCTGTAATTCTAAATTTTGTTGCATTTTCAGTCTCAAATGATTGAAATTGCAGTAAAATACTAAATTACAGGATCAAAAGACCAAAAATTTAGATATTGGGACTGAAAATGCCACGACACCAAATCAACAGGACTAAAAAAGACGCAATTTTGTCAGGGTGAGGCGATGTGTTCACAGAAAATTAATAATTTTCCAACATTGAAGTTTCTTGCTTAATGTTGCTAGCAAATGAACCAAGTAACAGAGGATCAAAACAGTAGTTACAATTTTATGTTCCAATAATTAAGTCCACCATTACAAAATAATCAATTGTTACAATTGCAATATAGAAGAAGTGTATATCCAAAAATAACCAAATAAGGTAAAAAAAAAAAAAAAAATTATGGTGAGAAAAAATGTTGTTGCTATGATAAGTTGGAATGAAATATCAATTAATGTTAGAATTTAATAAATTCGGTTGTTATATATATAAGCGAGATTGACTTATAAAAGTTTGTAATTTTCAAAACACCTTAAATACATTTTTCAAATGATAGAGACCTTAAATATTTTGTGCATTTTTCAAAGGACAATAAATTGAGTTGAAGACCCTGAGGCAGCACAGTGTGAGCTGAAGCATGTATAAATTGTTCCTCAATTTCACAGCCTCATTTATTCATTATATAACAGCCTAATCACATTATATTGACCTCAAGAAACTAAAAAAAAAAATGAAATTTGGAAAAGCATTAAGAGCCCAAATGGTGCAAGAGTGGCAGGGAGCCTACATGGACTACAATCACCTCAAGAAACTACTCAAACACATCATTGTTAAGTCCCCACAACTCGATCCGGGGCCTCATCGGGCCAGCGCTATCATCAAGAAACGAACCCTTCACAGAGGATCATCGACCGGTCGACCCGACAATGTTACTAACGAAATAACGGAAAGCCCGATTCAGCTGCAACCGGGCTCCGAAAACTGTTTTCAGACAATGTTTGTGAGGGAAGGCCAAGAACTAGAGATTTTGTTCTTTAAAACAGTTGATGTGGAGTTTAATAAGGTGGCCAAGTTCTATGAGGCAAAAGTCAAAGAAGTCAAACTGAGGGCCCACAAACTGAGCGTGCAGATGGATGCTCTTATTGCTTTGAGGCTCAAAGTGGATAATAAGCCTTCATGGGTCACTGGACAAAATCAAGGTAATATATTCTTCTTCTTCTTATCAAGATAACTTGTTTAATTATCACACTTATTTTGTTCTGTTTCTAAGGTGGATTACATAATGATATGATCCATGAAGTCGATCAGCCGAACAATGAAGTTCATTCAGAAGATGAGACTATTTTAAGTGAGAAAGACAATATTAGTGACATTAGAGACTCTGAAATATTGGAGCATGTGAAGATCAACGTTGATCCCGGCACACCCGTTTCGACTTTGAGAAATCTCATCAAGAGTACCAAATCAAAGCCATCATTGAGCAAATATGAGCTCCAAAAAGCAGAGAAGACATTGCAACGAGCCTTCGTCGAATTTTACCAGCAGCTTCGGCTTCTGAAAAGCTACCAGTATGAAATCAAATAATAAGAATAGATATTTTTATTTTAGAAAACTTTACATTTTTTGTATACCTACTCAAGTTGGCTGCATAATGTGGCAGTTTCTTGAATATGCTTGCTTTCTCCAAGATTATGAAGAAGTATGACAAGGTAATGCATACTTCAAATATATTCATCTAATTTACATAAGTGGACCTAAATTTTGTTGCAAATGCTTGTTTGTTTTGCAGATCACTTCAAGGAACACTTCGACGTCATTTATCGAGATAGTTGGAAAGTCGTATCTTGGAAGCTGTAATGAGGTTCGTGCTCGTTTTACATTGCCACTCGACTTTTACTAGTTTTGTATATATATAGTATAGATTCAAATTGTTATGATGTGGCATTTTTAGGTGAACATGCTTGTTGAAAGACTAGAGAAGGCATTCATTAAGCACTTCACAGACGGTGATCGTAGAAAAGGGATGAATTACTTGAGACCCACAACGAAAAAGGAGAAGCACAGTGTATCATTTTTCCTAGGTAGGCTTGAGCAGAAGAAATCGAGTTATTAAGATTTCATAATTTAATATCGATATTAAGAAAATTCGACTAAGACACTCTGATATTGGTCCCAATAACTTCTACATTAACAAATTAATAAATTTGCAACTAGTTTTATGAACTTCCTTTTGCAGGTCTATTCACCGGTTGTTGTGCAGCACTGATTGGGGGTATTAACGTGTCGATACACGCCCGTGACCTTCTCGATCATGAGGGACAAGAGCAATACATGTCAAATATATTCCCACTCTACAGGTATATTGCTTGTGAATATAATATACATATAATGTGATTTGGTTAAAGTAATATTATTTCATTTGATTCCAAAAAGATTAATAGATCATTGTATTTAATTTTTTTTCTTTTCCTTTTTGATTGCCTTTGTAGCTTGTTTGTGTACATTGTCCTACACATGCTCATGTATGGAGCAAACACATATTTATGGAGACGGTACCACGTGAACTATCCCTTTATATTCGGGTTCAAACCAGGAACAGAGTTAGGATTTAGAGAAGTATTTCTATTAGCTTCGGGACTTTCGGCACTTGGGCTGGCCGGTGTGCTTGCCAACCTTGACATGGAGATGGACCCCGAGACAGAGAAGTTTCAGATGCTAACAGAGTTGGTTCCATTAGGCCTTGTTACTGTGAGTTTCAACATATTTTTACGAAAATTTCGGGTCTTCATCTTTAATAATTTGAGGGATTCTAATTACTCTTGGATGGTATTTGCTTAAAGGTGGTGCTTCTCATAACCTTTTTCCCTCTGAACATCATTTATCGCTCGAGCCGTTTCTTTTTCATTCGATGTGCATGGCGCTGTATATGGGCGCCTCTTTACACGGTACGAAAAATTATACGTTAGTTTTGTAATAACTAAAAAAAAAATATACACCTCATTGCCATCTCACTTGTTGCTTCATTTTCTAGGTTACTTTCTCAGATTTCTTTTTGGCAGATCAGCTGATAAGCCAGGTACATATATATTTCTTACTTTACAAACTCAGGAGAAAAATATTACAATGTCTTAAATTGGCAGATTCAAGCTATAAGAAGTTTGCAATTTTACGTATGCTACTACGGGTGGGGCGACTTTCGAAGAAGATCGAACAAGTGCCTTGAGAGCGACGTTTACAAGATTTTTTACATAGCTGTTGCCATCATTCCGTTTTCATCCCGCCTTCTTCAGGCAAGTCTTGCATATATATTTGTTTGCTTTCTCTAAGACATTCATTAATAAAATTAATCCAACTCTACTAAAGTGTTGTTTTCGAATAAATTCAGTGTCTTCGTGTCCTGTTTGAGGATAAAAACCCGAAACAATTCTTCAACGGCCTGAAATATTTCTCGACGGTTGTTGCACTCGTGATGAGGACAATGTATAGCCTGAGGAGACAAACATATTGGAGAGTATTGGCTGCATCAACCTCAGGAGTCACAACCGTATACAACACTTATTGGGATATCGTGATAGATTGGGGGCTTTTGCGAAGAAATGCAAAAAACAGATGGCTCAGAGACAACCTCCTCATATCGTGCAAGCCCGTCTATTTTGTCGCCATTGTTAGCATCCGCAATATATATAATACGAGTAGTTCTTAAATTGTTGTAGAAGTTTGTTTTGAGTACATTGATTTTGTGCAGGTGGTGAATGTGTTGTTGAGGCTTGTGTGGATGCAGTTGATTCTTGATTTCAATGAAGCTCCGTTTCTGCATAGGAACACAATGATTTTAATTGTATCATGCCTAGAGATACTTCGAAGGGGCATTTGGAATTTCTTCAGGTATGTAGTAATGTAGGAAAATGCTACAGTCCCGCTGCGGAACCATTCCGTCGGGGTATGTAACCGTTAGCAAAAACTTTGTTCTCTTTTAAGTTTAACAAAACTACAGAACAAATACGAAAGCTTCTTTCAAATTACAGTAATAACGTAATGTTTGTTCAAAATGAGCAGATTGGAGAACGAGCACTTCAATAACATTGAGAAATTTCGGGCATTCAAATCTGTCACGCTGCCTTTTTACTACCAAGATGGGAAGATGATGTGAAGTAAAAACATGAAAATATTCCTTCATTTTATATATTTTATTTTTCCTTATGTTTTTTTGTCTCACAAATGTAAGGTGAGTGTCTTTCTACATTGTTAAGACGTTCCTTATTACGGCAACTACAGTGGGACATTTGGAGAAGTTTGTAAACCTCATATTGCTCATGTTATCATTAAAAGCATTGTTCTTAAAATCAGACCGGATCGGCCGGTTCAACCGGGGCAACTGGGAACCAGTCCATAATCCGGTCCGGTTTGAGTCATTAAACCGCCAGAACTCAAAGCCGGTAATAAACCGGTCGAACCTGCTCAAAACCAGAAAACCGGTAGCGGTCCATGCGGGTAACCGGTTCTCAAACTTGGACTTTAAATATTAGAGAAATCAATTAATAGTTATTAATGCAAGTTGCTACAACATTTATAGTCATTTCTTGTCTTTCATTGGACATTCTCATTCAATTGTGGGATAATTGCAAATCAAAGTTTCAGTCTCCTACCCTTTTATAGCCATTTTTTGCCTTTATTATTGTATTTGTAATCGATGTGAGATTGTCCTAGATTCTCTAGTCTTTTGACATGATTTTGTGCTAGGAAACGAGCGTTTTCTGAGTTTATTTTTCTAGATAGTAATAATTGTTCATACAAAGATCCTAAATACAAGATACACACCAATCATAATTCAAACATATAAACAAAAATGAGCAAATAATTAGTCCCGTTTTGCAAAACCATTAGACTGTCGCAGCGCGACACCTCGGCCTGCTCTTATTCTCTGCCATCGTGAAGGTCTCCGCGACTAAGCTCATAGCGCAAGCTTTTCTTCTCTGTCGTGGCGCCATACCTTGGCTTATTCACAGGCTCTTCCCTCATGACGGCCTCACGGCCCTACTCGCGGCGCGACACCCTAAAAACATGCTATTTGATGTTCTTTAATTCGTGCAATCTGAGCCCGGTTATATGCGTTCTTGAGAAGGCGATTCTCATCTGCATCCCTGAACCCTTCAAGATTGTCCTTAACCTGAAGGACAAAATAAATTGAACACGCATATCTTGTAGATTTTCCCAAGTCGCGTCCTCTTCCGACAATCCTTTTCACTCGATCAAGACATCCCAATGAAAACAACCACCCTTCTTAATCCTTCGATAATCCAATGCATGAGTCTGTTGTATAATCATAATGAACCTTGTATGAGCTTCATGATATTCACCCAAACTTTTTTTTTAATTGAGATACGTGGATAACCAGGTGAACTAGAGACACTGTCGGTAGCCGATAGGCCACTTCACCCACGCGTTCCACGATTCGATATGGACAGTAAAAAAAGTTGTCTGGCCTGAATAGAGCCTTCTGAAAGTTGGCTATTAGGTCGGAGCTTCAAGTAAATCCAATCGCCCATCTCGAACCGCTCTTCCCATCTTCCTATATCATAGTACTATTTCATCTGGTTGATCGACCTGTAGAGGTTACCTTTTAGTTCCCGAATCATCAAATCTTGTTCCACTAGCTCACTATCAACTTCAACATTCGAAGACTTCCCCAACGGTTAACTAACATGTAACACCCCGCCTTTTGCTTCTAGACTTGTAAAAATCAGAGTTAAATTTTTGCTTTTTTTTTTTCTTAAAATGCTTAATTTTTATTTTAGAAAATACTATAACTGGCTCGCGGGGTGCTACTTAGACTCTTTACTTACTCTTCTTATCTTTTTTTTCTCATCAGACAAATAACAATGATAATGCATGCCACCTAATTGAATCCATATAATAAAGGTACCATGGAGATAAAGGTATTATGCATGCATATGTCTGAATTACTCATAATCTCATATTGGTTATGATAATGAGGAAGCTAAAACACAATAAAAACAAGCATAAGTATATCTACATGTTCATAATACATGACATGAAAATGCATGCAAAAATATCCACTACTCATGACCACGACCACCACGAGTGCTCACGCGCCACGCTAGACTCCGTCACCTAAAAAGAAAAGTTGTAGGGACATGAGCAAAACCACTATGCTCTGCAGATCTGTACAGAATAAAACAACATCAATAATAACAATATCATGATTTAAGCATATAAAGTAACTGAACTGATTTGAACTTTGGTTATAAAAACCCTTGGCTAAAAGTCGTTCGGCTGAAAGCCACTAAATCTGTGGACACTCTGGGGGAACATTAAGGCCTGCGAAGCCTCCGCCAGAACAATGGTGGATCATAAAGGTCGTTTAAGCCTTCAATCCTGAGCGATAATACTGGAACCAAGAAGGGGACATTAAGGCCAACTCGGCCTCCATTCTGTTTGATATAACTTACTCATACATACATCGGACATGCTAACATAATTAAAGATGATGTAGAACTCAGTACGTGACCCCCACCTGATTGACTGGTAGGCAAGTGTTGGATGAATGTAGTTGTCAGAGGCTCCACTCTTCTTAGGCTACAAAAATAATTGAGCAAAATATTCTATATATTTAAGCTCAACTGATAAATTAAATCTTTTTATTTGATCTGATCTTACTAGGTTCCTTCGCTGGATTTTACAATCATTTAATATCGATTAGGTAATTTACGAGCTAATTTGAGAATTGTTGTCTTGAGGCTTTGTAGAGTTCTCTGAGATATTTCTAAGTCTGGAACTATATTTTAACTGGATCTATATCTTATTGCAACTTATCTGGTTTTTCTCTGAACTGACTAGGCTCGAAAAAATATTAGATCTGGAGCGATTTTGTCTGGTTTAACTGAATCTGACTTGGTTCAGAAAAATCTTGGATTCTCGGTTCATGCTCAAACAAGTGTACCGAACTGAAACTCTTGAATCGTCTGGACTGCCCGAACTGATTCGGCTAACTTGACCGGCGGCTCGATCGAAATTGATCGATCGCTCGACTAACTATGTGCAACTCGGCTCGACCATGGTTCGGGCAAAAATGCACGGACATGGTTTCGTTGACGCACGACTTTTATACTCGGATCTAAAATTTTATCTGGTGCTCGAAAGGCCGAACTAGGGTTCTCTACTCAATCGGCAAACCTACTCATTTGAAGCCAAAACTTTAACTCTATGTTCAACATGATTTATCAATACTTTATATATCACAACTGCAGCTAAATGATAACCGAATAATTTTTTGGCATAATGAGGCTAAAGTCTCGAATTTTTAATCATATCAAATGGCCTCCAAAAATATGAAATTTAAACCACAGTGTCATCAACATATATACAATTTATGGTAAACATCTTACAACAATATTCAGCTCTTAACTTAGTTAACGAAAATTGGACGTTTCGGCTCTATATTCTATAATCCGGTTCGTATAGCAAACGGGCTCCAAAATTAACGAAATTAAAACATAAGCCTCAAGTTATCTAAATAGAATTTATCCAACTGGAGTCAAAATTTTCAGATCAGCACTCAATATATTATGAATTTTCTAGCCATTTAACTCAATAAATCCATATAAATCATATCTAGCTCAAAACCCTCATTTCTCATTTTTATAATTAATCAAAATTGTTGCTTAAGGCCATGGAGAAGAAGTTTCAGTCATTATAACTTTCATTTTTATAATTAATCAAAATTGTTGCTTAAGGCCATGGAGAAGAAGTTTCAGTCATTATAACTTTCGAGGGACAGAAAACAAAAATTGGAAGAAGATGGAGGCTTGTGAAAATGCTCAGGGCTATGGATCGGGTTTGGTCTTGCCGGTTTTGTTCGGATCTGCTTCTGTTTGGACTTGGGCTGAGGTGCGTTGGCTTGAATCTGAACTGGGTGTGACTCGGGCATGATCGCTCGCACGATTCGAGGCTGAAAGGCGGCTCGAGACGCGCTTGTACGGACGGTGGCGCATTGGGACGCTGCTCGGTGGTCCACGACGTACGGATGACTCAAGTATGGTGCAGCTGGGACGGCAGCGAGCGGGTCTGGAGTGTACGGTCACGGGACGGTGCGTGATTGGTCGAAAAAAGTGTGTATTTTATATTTTTATTAGCGTATTTTCATATGCTTAATTTTGTAGCACTTATATATTTTTGGGCTTATTTATTTATTAGATTAATTTGAGTGCTATGATATTTATATGTTTTATTTTAGGGTATTGGAGTATTTTTATTGGCGACGTGACACCGATCGAGAATTGAGTAGGCCAGAACGAGGGGCCCATACCAGTTTGAGTTCAAGGCCCACTAG